TGCTATTTGCATATATAACCACGTATGCAAATGAGCAATCAAAATTTAGAGAGAAAACATACGACAAGCATTCCAAGTAAACGTAATGCTTATCTGGTAATAGACGCACCGAATACGTTGCCTCTGAAAATTACACAAATTGATAAAAGCTTGTCAAACATTGCGCCTTCAGCAGCTTCGCTTGCATTTTCCGACTTAGCAAGTCCAAGAAATAAAAAAAAGGTCCAAACAGGCATGAAACGCTATGTAAATATGAAACGAATACTTAGTCCACAAAAAAGCAATTCAAATGGTTCTAAAATAACTAAAACTATCAAAGATAGTATACCTACAAGCATTCTTTCTGGGAATAGATTTGCTGAATTAGCTGAAACTACCTGAAATTATCAAATATTTTAAACCGTCTCCAATCTACCTGCGTGAACTCCGCTCAAATAACCTAGTCACACTCCTTGCTCATCTAATTGGAAATAATAGGTTACATATTGCTTCTATAACCACGGGCAATATACACGAAACCAAGATCCAAATTGACACCGAAAACAATTTTAGGGTCATAACTAAACATATAGATAATAGCAAGAAAAATTAATACACATACCAACTGAAGAGTAGTAAAAGCCTTGTTGTCGTCATTAAAGGTATTGAATCAGATGTAGAACCCATTGAGATATCAAACTCTCTAAGCGAAAAAGACTTTAGCCGTAGAGCATTTATAAACATAGTTAACAAAGATAAAATCCCACAACCCATGTTCAAAGTTAAACTTCATCCGGAAGCTGCTAAGGTTAAAAAAAATGAGAGCCATCCCATTTACAACCCACAGTATTTAGCGTTGAGGAGCTACATAAAAGAAATGGTCTAGTGCAATGCACAAACTGCCAAGAGTATGGCTATAAATCATATTGCACTCTTCATACAGTGTGCGTAGCTTGTGGTGAGCTTCACCATAGTTCCGAATGTGATAAAAAAGCATTAAAGGATACCAACTCCAAAAAATGTAGCAACTACAATGGAAATCACACTGCAAACTACAGGGGCTGTCCTATTTATAAAGAACTGAAGCACAGGTTAGCTCTGCAGAAAGAAGCGCTGCGTAAACCTACAAGAAGCAACCCCATCAAATTAGTTGAAGTACCCCAACCTTTAACTTCTAAACCTGTTACACCAGGTGTTTCATATGCTAATGTCGTTAAATCTGACAAGCAACAAGCCCTTCCAGTTCAAAGTAATAGTTTGGAAATGATGATCTCCACTCTCACCCAGAGCTTAACTCAGTTCATGTCAATCATGCAAACTACTCTTAACGAGATAGTCAAAATGCAAAGCCAATTAACGCAAATGTTTTTGTCTAATAAATGAGTACTTTAAAAATTTGTACATGGAATGCAAACGGCTTAAGCCAACATAAACTTGAACTCACAAATTTTATGTCCCGAGAAAGTGTGGATGTAATGCTTTGCTAAGAAACACATCTAACAAACAAAAAATTTTTGTGTATTCCTGGTTATTTATTCTATAAAACGAATCACCCTCATAGAAAAGCATATGGTGGTACAGGTATTTTGGTAAAAAGGCGTATAAAACACAATTTTCTAGATACATATGCTCATACTTATATGCAAACCACATCAATATACCTTATACACAAAAGAAAAAATTTAACTTTGTCGGCTATTTACTGCTCCCTCGTTCAATATTACTGAGACCCAATTTACAGATTACTTTTTAACAGGAAACTACAATTCTAAGCACACGTAATCTAAAAGGCTCTGTAATCCAAAAGGTAAATAGCTTTACAATTTCATTCTAAATAGAAAAAATGCGCTAGACGTAATCTTTCCTGCACAGCCAACATATCGGCCTGACGATAACAATAAAATACCAGACCTAATAAACTTCGCCGTGACCAAAGGCATAAGCAGAAATGTTATCTCAACATACACAAGCTGCGATTTGTCTTCTGACCACTCTCTAGTTACATTTTGCTTACTTGATAATCCTCAGTTATATAACTGTTCCTATAGCCTTATAGGTCCTAGAACAAACTGACTTAAATACAAAAAGTACATTAATTCACACATACACACAAATTAGAAAATAATATGTAAGTCTCAACTTCGGTTTTAAACTCAATTCTGCTTTCAGCAGCAGAAAACTCCACTCCTAAAGGCAATAAATTTTACAGATTCAATAAAGTACTTACAAATAGTGACATAGGGAATTTAGTTTTACAAAAACGTAGATTAAGGCGTGAATGGCAAAAATCTAGGTCCCCTTCAGCGAAAAACTTATTTAAAGAAGCCCAAAGGAGACTTAGATCTGCATTAAGTAAGGAAAAAAAATCAGGCAATATAATTATATTCAAAACCAATGACCAAATGGCAAAAACCATTCATCCTTGTGGAATGCTAGCAAAGGTATAAATTTCCCCATAGAATCCAATTCTCCAATAAGGAACTCTCAAAAACTTGGCGCGAAGTGATGAAGAATCCACGTGCACCATCTATTGACATGCATATCACGGCCAATTATCTTGTTCAAATAATCACAAACAAGTTAGATTGCAAAAAGGCACCGGGATATGATAATATCTCACCCAATATGATAAAAAAACTTACCCCTTTAGGATAAAAACTTTATCACAAGACTTTTTAATGGTATTATTAAATTTGATTTTTACCCAACAGAGTGGAAAACATCCATAATTATTATGATTCAGAAATCAGGTAAAGGTCTCACGCTTGCCTCTTCATACAGGCCAATAATCTTACTGCCATGCCGTTCTAAACTATTTGAAAGAGCACTGCTTTTAAAGCTAAAACCATTCCTTGACGTTCAAAACCTAATACCCTCCAACCAGTTTGGTTTTAGGGAAAAACATGGAACTATTGAGCAAGTGAATCATATAACAAATGAAGTAAGACACTCATTTGAGTTCAGAGAATATTGCTCCGCGGTATTTCTCGATGTAAAACAAACCTTTGACAAAGTATGGCACAATGGATTCCTATAAAAGATACACTGTTCATTACCTGCAAATGTCCACTCAGTTTTAGAATCGTATCTGCATAATAGAAGCTTTAAAGTGAAATGTAAATCATATACTTCTAATAATTTCCTAAAAGAAGCTTGCGTTCCACAAGGAAGTGTTCTTTTCTCTATCCCGTATGTACTTTACACATCTGATATCCCAATAAGCAGCTCAATCGTCTCCACAACGTTTGCTGATGATACGGCAATTTTATGACGAAACAAAAACACTGTGTTAGCTTCAAACCAACTTCAATTCCACTTATTTCGGGTGGAGAAATGGTTGTCAAAATGGCGAATTAAAACTAATGAATTAAAATGTTGACACGTCACTTTTACCTTAAATCGGAGTATATCTCCAACAATTTCACTAAATAACATTTCCATACCACAAGCAGATAACAAAACGTACTTAGGTATTCACTTAGACAGACGACTAACTTGACGTAAACATATTGAAGCCAAAAAATTTAGATGAAACTCCAAGCCTCTAAGTTTGATTAGCTCATTAACAGCAGTTCTTCCCTGCACCTAGAGTATAAAGTACTCTTGTGTAACAGCATCATAAAATCAATATGGACTTATGGTATCCAGCTATTTGGTAATGCTAGTGCTTCAAATATTGAAATTGTACAAAGAGCTCAGTCAAAAATACTAAGAATAATCTCTGGTGCCCCGTGGTATATAAGGAATGAAAGTATCCACCGAGATTTACAAATTCCCCTAGTTAAAGATGAATTTGACTATATAAGAAAAAAATACAATAAAAGGCTGAAAGAAAATGTTAATCTCACACTTCTATCCATTACTTTCCGTCTAAAAAGAGCTGATCGTCCATCCATTAATTAATATTCAACAGCTTGAAGTAATAACCGCACCTTTCTTTTTAGTAATCTGTTAAAGTTGAGCCACTTTCTTAAGAAACCACCTAACATTCACTCCAATGAAATTTAACCCATTAATCTAAGTGAGGTTCGTGATATAAGGTTTACTTATTTTATTTTATTTTATACAATGTATAATTAAAATAAAAATTTGTAACATTATGTAATTAGTTATAAGATTTTACAACTTATTGTTAGTCTCATTTTAAGAGAAGATGCAATAAATAAATGTATGTTTTAAAAAAAAAAAAAAAAAAATATTTTTTTAGCGCCAAAATTATTCACATGAATTAAAAAATTTTGTGCACAAACTCAACCGGCATATTTCATGCGTTGCCAATTATTTTTAAACGTGATCCGTATCGTTTCAGCAAAGATAATCCAGATCATTGAGCGGATCATGTTTGCTGAAACGCAGCTAATGTTACACATTTGTTGCGTACTGAATTGCAAGCACTTACCGTATTGTAACATTTAATTTATTTACTGTTAATTTTTTCTTGCCGTGATTTTTCTTTTATAGAAATGTACTCTCAAAAGTTAAAATTCTTGATCATTTCGGATGGAATTCTATTCAGAATATAATAGAACGTTGCCTTTTTCATTCTGGCAATTAAAAAAAATTTCATTATAAATTGCATTATAATGCAATTAAAAGTTAAAATTAATGTTCAAACTTTATTATTTTATAAAAATGAAAAGAAAAACATATTCTAAGCTGACATAAAACGATTTTATGTATTACAAAATAAATATTAGGAATAAGCATTCCCTAGGATACAGATACATCTTACTAGTAATTTAACAGATAAGGAAAAGTAAACAAATTGAAAGGCTTACCTAAACGAGTCGTAGGTTTTCAGCAAAATAAGCCTGCGGTTCGTTTATGTAACTTCCTTACTTCGTTTTCTCGAACGCTTTTCTCACTTTTGACTTTTAGTTACTCGCAATGTTTGTAAAAAGTGAGAAAAATCGTCCGAGAAAACTAAATGAGAAGGTTACATAAACGAGCATTACAATTGCTCTGCCGTGTAAAAGACCGATGAACCATTTATATATAAGTCTAGCGCTTTTCGTGTTGTGAATGGTGTTCTTTCAAGTGCAAATCACAATTAAAATATAAATGTGGCAACATTGATTTTCTGCAAAGTAGTGATTATAAAAATGTCGGACATAAAGTAAGTTTGATTATATTTAAATAAATAAATTTATTAATGTATTATGGGAATAGTACAGAGTTTAATTAGTTGTTTAAATTTTTAATATAAAATTATTTAATATATTTTATTTAAGCTGAGATATCTGATTTGGTTTTAGAAACTTTTTCTTACTAGTGTAGAGATTAAAGCCTGTTTTTTTTTTATTAAAAATGAAATATTTGTGTATGTAGTAAATTTAATATTTGTACAATATTTCTAAAATATTTTCAGCGATGAACTGTTTAATTATGAGTTAGGTGATGACATTGATGATCAGGCTGTACTGGGTGTAGATGAAGATGAGTTACTTCTTTCCGATGAAGGTTTTTTACCAAAAAAATATTGTCTATTATGTTAATTAACAGTTTTTTGTTTTAAGAATTAGAACAAAACGTTTCCAATGAGGAAAAGCAGAAAATTAAAGAAGATGCTGAACAGTGGGTGGAATCTCAAATTAATGAAGAATTTGATAGTAACAGTTTTAAAATAGTAAATATTAACAACGCAACAGATAAAGATTTAATGGAAGTAAAGATTATTGACCAAGGAAAATTATTAGCACATGAACAAACTGAAGTTACTCCAAATGCATGTCCACTTGCACTGTTAAATTTACCAACATTAAAAGCAACTACTGTCTCAAGAGATGATTATACTATACCATTATCTATATTAAAACAGCAGCAGGGACTGCAGGTGCCAAACATTAAAGAACAACATTTAACTATTTGTGACTCATATAAAAGCTCCATTGCTGACAAAGTAATAGCAAGTAATAATAACCCATTATACAGAGATCTTTCTTCTATAACAAGTTGTTCAACGAATATCGGTATGGATATATCTGCTTCTTTACAAACTTCTCAAGAAAGTTCTGAAGATATAGTTACGTTATGCAGTAATAATGACGATTTTGAAGATAATCGTGAAAAAAGAACGAATATAAAAACAACAAGTGAACGCAACGTAGAATCAACCACAGACCTAAAGGGTAATGTAATATATATATGAATAATGTATTAATTTATAGAAAATATTTATGTTTAGATAAAATACGTTTTGTTTCAAATAAACGTAATATATCTTATCAAATAAGACCTCATGGAATTCGAAATGCATCATTTTTTACTCAACGTCCACTTTTAAGATATCCTCACGGTAATTTTCCAATTGTGACAAATCCTTGTTTTTCATTAAAAACATTAGCTCACACTCCTAATACCGTTCTTCCAGGTCAATTTCTGCCTCAACAGTCTTCAAATCTATATACAACACATAGCACACAAGCATCCAATTTGGCTTCTAACCAAACAGTAAATGTAAACAACCTTCATGGCACCCCTAATCAACTTGATCCTTTAAATTCGAATCATATGCCACACTTACGTAGTTCATATCCAGCTTTTCGAACACCTGTACCAATTAATTTTAGGCTCCCTAATCCAGGAATATATAATCACGTGCCTCATGACTACAGTGTAACTAGCGGATCAGCATATAATTCGAATTTTGTACAAAACCAAACACCATCGCGTCCCATATATCGCCCTGAAATAAGCATGCAATCTGGTTTACGTGCTGGGACTCGTATTCAACGTCCCATATTACAATCTGTATCCAATCAGAACTATATTAATAGTCCAATACGCGTTCAACAGATACAGCATCATACAGTTACCATGCCATCAAATATTCAAACTAGTGGTTCAGGAATATCAGTGTCTTCTATACAGCAGTCATCATCTATGCGACCCAGTAAAGTCCTAATTAATCCAAATTTTAAAGGAGGTGTAGAAGCAGCTACATCCAAATTTATTAAAGAAACTCAATTTATGACAAGCATAAGTAATCATGTGTCGCATTTACAGAGTGATGAAGAATTATTACGGCAGCAAGAAGAATTTATTAACAACAATAGACATCACATTGAAAAGCGACGAAATAAACGTTCATCTACACCATCTGTTTTACGAAGGTCACGAAGTGCTACACGATCTCGTAGTCGATCTCGCAATAGAAGTTTCTCGCCTCAAAAACGTTTTACTGGATCTCATTTTGATCGGGTTTGTGGCGTAAGTAGTAATAATGAACGGTATGTCGATCGAGATCGTGAACGAATTCCTCGACTTGACAGTCGCGAACGTGAACGTGGACCTACTCCGTCATGTACTTATCGTGCAAATAGATTTAGACGAGCTAATAGTCGTGATTTTGAAAGTCGCTATCAAACTGGAAGTTATCCTAAGCGAAGACGTAGTGTATCACCTGCTTCAACAAGAAGTGCGTTAAATCGTAGAGCTCCTGATCGAGAAAAATATGATGTAAGTAGTAATTATATTATATTTATTTTGACAGTTTCGCGAGTAAAATATTTTTTAAATTAAATAAAATACATATGTGCTTTTGTTCCATACTACTGTTTTATGCTATTTATGCAATTGTACAGCTACGTTATCAAGTCTGAAGTGTCGCAAAAACACTTTTATTTAAATATAAAGGTTTTTGATAATCAATTTTCAATAATTATTATATTGAGAATATATTTACAACAAAAAGTTTAGTAGTTTACACAAATAGTATAAATTTCTTTAATATAAACGTAAACACTGTCATACAATAGGGGTATTCAGGTAACTGATTAGTTGCTTAGTAGTTGATTACAACAAAAATTTGCAAACAAAAATGAAACTAAGCAGAGAATCAACTAATTCGGTGATTCTCAGATTAGTACGAATTTGATTAATAGTGTCGTAATAATAATTTAAAATGAACTTTTGTATAGAAATTTGTTAGCTATCTCTCTCAGCTGTTTGAATTGTATGTAAACAATTTTCACTGTTAACGTATGTTTCGCTTTCGTAATTACACACAACAAACTAATCAGATTACGCATTTTGGGTCGTTCAAGCAACTGATTAACATCAAAATGCTAAATTTTTTTTGTATGAAGTTTTTGAATCAACTAAGCAACTAATCAGTTGCCTGAATACCCCTAATTATTTAAGTATTGATTATAGTCCTTTGTAGTATCTTTGATATATTACAGCCTTTTTTATGAAATTAATCAAATTTTTCAAATCATTATTGCTTAGTATCACATTTTAATACACATTTTTTTTAAAATAAATTTAATAACTTTATGCACTAGGGACAGTTTATTTATTTATTATTTAGGATTAATTTGTTAATATTTATCATTTTAGTAATGTGTTGAACATCCCTTAGGAACCTCATAGATCCTATCGGGAAGTGAATCACACAGAATTTTAATATAAGTTTTTGTTGAAAATTGTTTTCCACATTCATAAAATTTCTGGCCAGCTATCCCAAAACATTTTCTATTATATTAGGGTCCGATGAGTATGGCGGCCAGATCACAACCGCAACGTTTCCGGAGTCGATGAACGATTTTACAACACGGGCAGCATCTATTGAGGCGTTGTCTTGTCGGAAAGTCCGCGGCAATTGTCCAAAGAGATTCTCCAATCAACGAAAAGCCTTTTCTAAAATTCCTTGGTGCGGTTTTGCATTAATAGTTGTGTTTAAGAATTGGAGTTCACAAGTGTGCAAATGCTTCAACTTATAAGTTTCTTTCCTCAAATCATGAAAATAATAGTTGTTACCGTCGGGTCCTTCCAAATAAAACTTTTTCTCATCAGATAAAACAATGCGATTCCACTCCTTGCTCCATGACGTTGTCACGGGGAAAACGTCAACCGAGCGTCTTTACGTATAGGGTTAAGTGTTATTTTTTTTTTATTAATTTCAACTATTTTAGATGTTGGGCATTCGAAATAACACGCCATACAGTAGTTTTGCTTGCATTGCATTGACACCAGCTTTCAATCTAATCTTGTTAACCGAATCATGCCGCAAAATTGCCCGCTTATCTTCATAGCTGAGGGTGCTTTTTACACGGCCTTTTATATTTTTTCCGTAAATAAGAACATTTTGTATAAAATTGTATATAACTTTTCTGCTTCTTCCGATGTTTTTTTAATATTTCAGTCACAGACAAGTCAGAATCAATGAAGCTTTTTATATTGACGTGTTCTTTGTTGGTTAATGCTTTACCACAACCCATTATTACTTTAAATTATCACACTGTATTTAAAATTCACAAATAAAATAAAAAAATTTAATATTGTGGTAATTGCTACTCATAAATGAAATTCGAACCCAAATGGTGCTATTCAAGTGAAACGAAAAACGTACTAGCTATTGATGCAAATTTAAAAGAAAATAACGGAAAATATAACGGTACATTTCTATAGCTCTAATTTTTTTGAACGAGACTACATAAGGAGACAAAAAGAAAAGGACAATAATTATTACAACAAAGTCATGAGATCCTTGATTGATAAGCAAATAATATTGCAAAAACGAAATGTGCTATTCAAGTGAAACGGAGTGTATAAGAAACAACTACAATATAATCTTCTCTGCGTTCCATTGTATAGACCCTAATCAAATTTTTCCGGTTTTTTCATATTATCGTCATGATAATATATTTTGCATATGCTGTTAGAGTTGGTGTTAATGATAATTTTATACTTTGGCTCTAATCTACTCTAGTATTTAGCTAGATTTAAAACATAAGTAGTCCTACAAATTAGTAAAATATTTCTGATAGCTTTGGCACACTTTTGCCCCCAAGTGGCGGCTGTAATACCTAGACTGTTCCACTCCAAGCGATATTTCGTCTTACATTTTCAAATATTGATATTTTAATTAGTGAAGTGAAAAAATTTGAAAACAATAACTAATTATGTATCAACATCTCAGACAAGAATCAACGTAAGTAACGTGATTTATCTTTATTACATCCTCTCAACTCGATTGTTGAAAAGTAAGTCTTTTTACTTATTTTATTGTACCAAAATAATACTTAAAATATTTCCAACATGCTATTTTTAAGTTTCTATAAATTTGGAGTAAACAAGTAGCAACAATTTAAAGGCGATGAGTTGATCATGCTATTAAACCGTTTCTCCAAATTTATAGAAACACTTTACAATTATTAAAGAAAGGCAGGGGCGGAGTAATGCGATTATGTTACTCCTCCCATCTTTAAAACGTTCACGTCGTCGTGAATATAATATAAATATAAAATATTTTCATTAAACTATAAATTATTTATAAATTATAACTTATTTATATTATTAAATATATATTATAAAATATATTATAATATGTATCATATATATATTATTATGTTATTTATATTATAGAATATAAATTATTTATTCATCAATGAATTAAATAAAACAACAAAATGTTAAGAAAATTAATTTCTTTGATATTTCTTTTTTCTTTTAAACTGACTTTTTCATTTTTTAGAAATCCTATTTTTGAGTTTAACGACGTAATGGCCATTTCTATCTTTATCCAAAATTTTAACTTTCTTATATGGATTAGCCATTTTATTAAGTCGTTTCCTGGTTTTTTCTGCGTTTAACAGACTTGTGTTTATTTGGTATTTCTTCCTATTTTTATTTAAATTTTCGATACGGTTGACCTTTATTTGTTGTGGGTTTTTTTTTTGGTGCTACTCTATTAAAGAAAATATTATAAGGGCATTCGTTAGTTGTTCAATGTACTATAATATGATTATAAGTGAAAACCGTTTGTTCAATTGCAATTTGTTTCAGTTCCTTACCATCTCCTGAATTAATTAACCTTAACTTCTCGTTCAAGGTTTTATGCAACCTTTTTATAATATATCTGATATTCCAGTTTTCCCTGTTGTTATTTTAATTTCTACCTTTAATTTTTTTAACCATTCTTGCAAACAGGTATTGATTAGGCCAGGGTCTTGATCTTGAATTTCTTGAGTGAACTGCGGCCACGATTAAAATCACTAGTGTTTCCCAGTGGCAAAGGATGGAGCTTCATCGCCAAATGTTGAAGTAAGTTGATCGATGCACTCTTGTCTCTTGTGATAATCCACGTCGAGTGTCGTAATAAATCATCGCACGAAAATTTTCTCGCGTTAATTCCATTTTTTCGCGAACGCTATAATTACAAATCACTGTAAATAACAAAAATAATGCTCTTTTGACAAAAAGTCTAGGTTGTGTTATGTTTAATAATGTCAAACTTTCGTATGGAAACGTCAGATGACATCTGACAACAATCACTGTTGCCAAGGCTAAAATATAAATAGTGATCCACGTAATTCAATTTTTTAGGTGAATTGACAATATTGTTATCTTTACTACTGTTTTCTACATTTTTATTATTAATCTTAATCTCATCATCAAAAGTCTATACATTATTTACTTCAAGTTTATATGGACTAAGTTCTAATTTTTTCTCTGTTTTGTTAAATATACATATGTGCTCTATTTCTACGTTATATTGTTTAAGTCTTTAATTAAAAATGATCTTGGTTCAGAGAAAGTTTCTACTATTTTTCCTGGGAACCGGAATGAAGTGGGGCTACTTTTAAATATCACATTTTCTTCTTCCTTTATTGGTTTCAAAGTCTTCGCTGCTTTATTGTAATTTTTTGACGTTTGATTGATTTTTGATTTAATTTGCTTATAAACTTGATTGTTTATTATTTTGGTACAAAATTTTTCGCAATTGAGTGCAATTTGTTATTCGTAAATATTCTGACATCAGCAATTCTGCTGGACTGAGCATATTTTCTTTTCGAGTTGTCCTAAAATAAAGTAATGCATTATAATAATCTGTATTACTTTCTTTACATTTTATTAACAAATTTTAATAGTTTGTATAGAGTGTTCAGCTAGCCCATTAGATTTAGCTAAATAGGGACTAGAAGTTTTATGTGGAATTATGTGGAATAATTTTCAATGAATTCCTCAAACTCTTGACGAAAAAAGTGGTCCGTTATCAGATATTCAAATTTCTGGAATTCCATTTCTGGCGAAAATAGATTTTAAACTTATAATTACCTTGAGGCTTGAATAACCTTAACTCAAAATATTAATTTCTATAAATTTTAAGTAAGAGGCGATAACTTAAATATATGGCTTGCTATTGAATTTAAATAAACCATATCCAAATTTTTTTCATGGTATAGTTACCATACCATGCGGTAAAAAATCTTGCTTAGGATTTACGTTTTGATGTTTAAGACAAAGATTACAATTTGAAATAAAATTTCACTATTTATATTCCCTTGTGACCTTTATGTAACTAAGATAAAATTTTCTTGCGAAGATATTACAGTACGATTATTTTTTAGAAAAATTTCATTTGCTATATATAACAAAAAAATCTTTAACAAAAAATACGGCATGATCGCTATAGCTAATTTTTTTTTATTTTTAAGGCAAACCATTATTCACATTAAAAAATTAGAATCAAGAGATAAGTCTTTATCAATTTCTTTTAATTCATTTTCTTTAAGTTGAGCTTTAGACAGTGTGTCCGCTATTTATAAATATTTTCCTGACACACTTTTTATAAGTAGTTCTTCTTTATATTATAATGAGGTTTTTCAAACAAAGTAACTAGAGGCTTGTGATCAGTTTCAACCAAGACCGATGACCCATATACATATTGATAAAAGCGTGCTCAGCTAAATAAAATGACAAATAGTTTTTTTTCAATTTGCGCCTAATAAAATGCCAAATAAAAATGACAAATAGTTCTTTTTCAATTTGCACCTAATTTTGTTGAGTATTTCTTATCGAAGCTGATGTATAAACAATTGGATTTTTATCGTAAGAAATTGTTCCTCCGGCTGCATACTTAAATGCATCCACTGACATACTAACCTGTTTATTTAGGTCGAAATGTGTTAAAACAGCGGATTCATGTATGGGATTCCAATGCTAAGACATTTTTTTTTAAATATCGCGTAGATTTTTTTTTGATGATAAATTATTTGTAAAGGGATCTAAGTAGTTAACCATTATAAAAAAACGTTGTAGTTTGGCAACTGATTTTGGTATTGGTATTTTTAAAATAGACTTGATTTTATCATTATCAGACGAACTTCCTTTCGCATTAAAAATGTGACCAATAAATTTTATTTCTGTGTGATTTGTTTTCTTTGCTCCTCTTAAAACTTTATATTATGTTCTTCAAACGTAGAAGCATGTATTAGAAAATCATCATATATGAAAATCATAATATCGAAGGTTAATCATTATATAAATGATTAAACCTTCGATATCACTTAAAAACTTTATCATTTCTGAATGAAAAATTTCAGGCGCCTCATTTATACCGAATGGTAATCGCAAATATTGAAACCTATCAAATGAATTGTTAAAAGTGATCATCTAATCATCTACTGGAATCATCCAAAGTCCACTATTAGCATCTGAATAATTAAAAAATGTTGAACGAGAAAGTTTTGCTTTGCAATCATCAAAATTAGGGAAAGAAAAATGCGGAAGTAAAATTTTGGTTTTAATTTTAAATGATAATTATTTTTTAAATAACCAAAACTACATCATTATATTTTTTAAAAATGTCTTAAATTTTTGTATTGCTAAAATTATTTATTTAACAGAAATTTGTTCGCAATTTTTAACCTTATTAAATTCTTATAATTTATATTCACTACATAAAATTTACTATTATAATATTGTTTCTTGTACACAA